TATACATTTTAAGAATGGCATTTATCTTTTTTGAGAATGAGTTCTTATTTTATTTTATTTATTGGGATCTACAACAGATGATACAAATGTTTGTGTCAGTAAATGTGTACTAACAGAAGCGGGGGGGGGTGGGGGGGGGTGGGGCGGGGGGGGGGGGGGGGTGGGGTGGTGGGGGGAGGGGGGTGTGGAAATAACGGGGACAGAGCTGGCTGCTGTCAGACGATCAGCTGTGCAGCGTCATCACAAAAGAACGTCGCTTCACGTGACGCTCCGGAGGAAAGGACGTCCCATTGCTCTTAAAACTCATTTCCCTGCTTCTCGTGGTTTCCTTGCGTCCCTCCACGCTTCCCTGGTGGGAGGGACTAAACGCAGGGAAACGACGCAAGTGAGGGAAGCAAGGATTTCATTTAATCGACCTGAGAAGCAGCCCTAGGCTGATTATCGAGCCTTCATTGTAACTGTCGCGGGTACACTGTGTGTGCCTGTGGGGAGTGTTGCAGTAGAAAATTCAACTGTAGCGCTGGTGCATTAATGGGAAACCCTTAATGTTTGAGCACCCTCTATGAAACGTCAAGCTACCCCACAGCACCCCCTAGAGAAAATCTCTGGCGCCGCCACTGCCTGGAGGTTTAGGGGATAGGAAACACTCACATTTAAAACATATAATTAATAAATGGGTGAAAATTGCTTGTGCCCATAATGGGCAGCATTAATATATATATATATATATATACACACATGCCAGCTAAGGTCAGAAGAGCTTTATTTAACAGCTGGTCTTATGTTTGTGACCCCTGTTGTTAATTGATAACATTACATTACATGACATTAATTGATAAGCCTGAAATATGCACTTGTTAAGGTTCAGAGGCACATTTTGCAAATATGGCAGTATAGCCATCGATCAGCTTAAGATAAGATATACTTTATTGATCTCAAGTTGGAACATTTGCGTTACATCAGCATGTGTTACAGTTAAATATGCAGTGGTGTTTATTTGTAAATCATTTAGTATAATCACACAAATTCTGTGTTTTATATTCAACAATTCTGTGTTCTTTATTTATTGATTGTTCAATACCTGACAAGGTCGGAGATGAAATATCTACATACATCTTATAAGAGTATAATACATTATGTATAATATCAGTTAAAATAAGTGCTTCAACATAGTTAACATTGCTGGAGGTACGCACAAATATTGATAGATGTCTTGTAATGCACTATTGAGGAACCTGCGACCCAAGTTTTTCATTCACTACACTATAGTTGTGTAGGCCTATATGATATGTCAATAAACCTTAGAAAATCTTGAAAGGGATGTGCAAAATAGTCATTATATACAGTCTTTAATGAACTATTAGTAGAGAATAACGAGTAATTAATATACTTTATAGGGATCCTATTAATATCTAATGATAAAAATAATGAAATTCAATAACATGCTTTAACCACTAGGTGTCCCTTTATATCAGGTGTGCACCTTTATGGTGTAAATACAGCCTATCTACCAATTGGATCAAATATAAAAGTCAGCCGAATTAGTGTTGATACTGCAAGGAGACGTATTGTGTGAAAAGAAATGTAAGATGTTGTTTAATGGCTGATATATTTATGATCCACGTCACGTTTTCAGTTCCTCATGTTTGTCTAGAAGTCTTCTCATCAGGGCTCTATATATACAGAACTACGGCAGATATGTAATATTTAATGCAGCCGAACCGTGTATTACAATGCCGTTATGTGATGACTTCCAAAGAGAAAAGCAAGCACACTCGGAATGAAGTATTATTGTATTTTTATTCAATGTTTTCGGTCTGTTTCCGTTATTTGTTAATGACGATGTGCTGTGAGATGTGAGACTGGAATTGCACAGGGGAAAATAACGTAGGCTATCTTTAGATGCGGATTTTGTTAAACTAATATGTTTTCGCTGTGGACCAACACTATACATTGACGGGGAAGGGGGTAGCAATAAAGATAACACCATTAAACAGTTACACAACATAACAGAAATAATATCGATAGCAGCGTCCCTAGCAACCACCTTGGTAACAATGAAAACGTTATGGACGCAATTTCCTGAAGTAATCTTCGTAATAACTAGCAAACTAAAGATCATGTACATCCACTGCACACATAATCTGAAATAACAACTCATATTTCTCGCATCAAATGACATCAAAACGCATTTTAATGGCCAAACTAACTTTAAAATAGGCATTTTCCATCGAGAATAAAACGAAGTTCGGCCATGTTTTTTTTTTCTTCAGGGAGAAATTTGAAGATCATGTGACGTCAAACAGAGCACATGGTGTAGTCCAAACGATAGCTGGGGATTCTGGGTAGTGTAGTGTCTTCTGCCATCCTTTACTCCGAAAACATATTTGTTTCTCCGAATCGAAGGGGAAAAATACAAAAGCATTGCACACAATTTAAACCAATCAATGTTGTGTAATTAACAAGGATAATCTGGTGTTTTTTAGTCGATGAGTAGTGCAGATATCACTGTAAAATCAATCGACAGTAAGGGGAATACTTACTTCCGGGTGTACAATTCTCCGTTATCCAATGAGAATGGACGCTCACATTGCCTTTAAGGGCAGCAGACACAAACGAATGCCGTGCTTCCATGAGCGTCTATAGAAGCATATGGACATCCCGGAAAGCTGAAAATGGACGCTAAGGGCCCCCCCCCCTTGCGTTGAAAATGGACGCTAAGGCCCCCCCCCTTTCGTTGGAAAAAGCCGACAGGGGACTTGACATAACGTCAACATAGGCCGACCTGGGAGTGAGGATGTGTTGGGGGAAACTATGGAAACTACAGTTTTCTATACAGCGGACTACAACATGGATGTTCAATAAGAAGGAGGGACTACTGTAAACTCATCTAGAGACTCTGCACCGTGCTCTGATGCTGTTGTTTTATGCTTTATGAATGTGGACAACAGATAAACATATTCTTCATGACCAAAGTTGGAATTGAAATAAAAAAGGAAAGTGAAACTTATGCTGGTCACCCTCTCCCTCCGGTCCACATATGATTGTATGAACTATTAAAAGATCTTAAAATAAATACAAACGTATTTATTATAAACGTTAGTCCTTAACATCTATCACTGTGTATATCACCATTCAAACATCTTTTAAAAGTTGAACAACCCCACACAGCTCAGTGAGATGTTGACTTTATTTGATCATTTCAGTAAAAACTAACGTTAATATTTCTCTTTTTGATTATAATACTGATGAACGTTCAAAACAAAGCACTTTGGCAACTTACCACATACGTTTTAAAATGCTTAATAAGCACCGTAACTTTCATGATATCATTTCTCCCATTATCGTTTGTGTCCGTGAACGGCCGACTGTTGAGTGACGGCAAATGCTGCGGCTGCAATGCATTGTGGGGCAGCATTTTCTCCTCTCCTTTCGGCTAGGGAGGTCCAGTGGTTCCTACGCTAAAGGAGGTTATAAAGGAAGTTTGAAACCTCCTTTCCTTTCATTTAGAGAATTGGAACGGTGTCAGTACCAGATATGTTCGGCCTACCAGATATGTTCGGGTGTATTTCCGTCGCATCCGTCATCCGTCATATCCGTCATATACTCACCTCCCTCTGCTCCCAGCGCTATGCTGCCACACACCGGCCGTCTGCGGAACTGCAGCCGGAGGAACTCGGTACAGCTTGTTATGTGTGTGTACTTAATTATTTACAATTAAAAAATATATATATTCTGCGTTACTTTAGCCAACACTTTTATAATATATAAGCCTGATCATGTCGTTGAAAGCAAGTACAGATGTTCTCCCTTTTCCACAGTTCTGTGTGAACTTCATCTAAGGCAGATGCTTTGCTTCTGCACCAGTTTAGCAGAAGTCTGTTTTGTAAGACTGGTTTTGTTGCAGTCTGTTCATGCTATGTGTTTCTTGCGTAAGACTATATACACACGGAACACATGTATTACAGGGCTGTACCCAGTGTGCTTCATAAAACATTTTTGAAGCTTATTTTTTTAAATTAAGCCGTTTCCATGTTATAACAGCATCTCGTTAAATCAATATCGGAAACAATAATTGTCTTTTTGTGGTTATTTAAATGTAATTTATGGTGCTGTTAGAGTGCTTATTGACTGACCCGTTAATACAGATGCCCCCCCCCCCCCCCCTTTTGTGTGCGGTGAGCTGGAGAGAAGGCAGTCTATTTATTTTTGGTGAAAAAAAACCCCCTAACATATATGGATTGAATCAGAATATTGTGTTGGATCAAAACATATTGTACATTTTGAGAATTCTTACATCTATTACAATACATTTTGAGCTTTGGACAATGTTTGGATCAAACGAGCCAGAAACAACCTTAAGCAGCCACCACTGGAATATTATTGCAGTAATATTATAATACTAGTAGCCTTATATTAGTGTAGCCTAATATTGATCGACAAATATTTAGAAATAAATCTGGTTCTGCCTGCCTGCCTCATCGCACTATGCCCTGCTGCATTACCATGTATAGTATTTACATTCATAATGATCCTTTTTTGTTGCAGAGCTTTAGAGGCTTTAAGAGACGAACTGTCAATGATGCCAACTTGGCGACCTACAAACTAGATATAGCAATCTTGGAGCTATTGCGGCTAGCTACTTTCATTGGAAAGAGTCTCTAATTTTTTGTATGTATATATTTAATATATCCATCCCAAGCTTACCTACCCAACAGAATGAATTCACACATTCAAGTAAATAGAAAGACAGCACAGCATTCAAGTGTTTATTGAGAATTTGAACTTCAACGTTAATGGAAAAAGCTCCAAACTTTTCTCTACAGCCCTTAGTATCAAGAAATCCTTCTAGTTCCTTTTACATGTGGATAGGAAAACAGCACAGATTGTTCAGAATATATGAGGAAGCCATCAGGGAAGCAGCATGACCCAAGGCAGGACTGCAGAGACAGGTTCAGCCACGACCCGAAGTCCACGACCCGAAGTCCATGACAGGCAGCGTCCGGGAAAACCAAACTTGAAGGTAAGATATCAAAGGATGATCTTCATTAATTGCAGTGACAATTTAGTCTATTCTGACATTTGTTTGTGTGAGTTAATCTTTACCTATGATATCTGGTTGCAGAAGGGACTGCAATAGCCTGGATGTTGGTCATCAGAGTAGATGCCCTGCAATTCTCCTCTTTTACCTTTCCCAACATATCCTATGAATAGAAAAAGAAAATATTGTAATTGAATCACACTAGGACCACAACACACTAAATATGTAATGACACATAAACATTATTATCCAGAATAAGAAGTCTACCTGGTTTGCAGTTTTTGTAAGGCTCCAAGCATCCACGGCAGGTGTCAATGGTGTACATGACGTTGAAATCCTGCTTGTATGAAGCAGAGAACAAACTCCATGTAGCAACACCTGTGTAAAACAAGCATTTCAATAGAGCCATTACAAATATGCATAGACACCACAGCTGTCGTATACTGCTGCACCTTCACTGAATCACTTACTCTCAAGCCAGCGAAAGTGGGCCCCTCTTCTGAAAGACACAGTGGACATTGTGTCTCTGAAGGTGGTACACACTAGAGTGAGTGATGAGTACGCTTTGTCACCTTCCTGGAGAACCACTTCCATCAGAAGGTCCGAGAGAAGACAGTTTGGCAGCTGTGAAGTATTGGTCAGACTAGATCAAACATATTTAACAACACATTGACTAGACTGTTGCCAGCACAATCAAAATACCAAGATTCTTTGGGCTTCAGGTAGCAAAAATACACATTTTTAATATTAATGTTGAATATATCACACACATTTTTCTTATGTTTTGTTATTCTTCTCCTTGAGGTAAAAAACAGCTATCAATAAAGTTAAAAAAAGCAGTGAGACATAATAGTTGGAAATTCTGCCGTGATCATAGGTCGTTTTTTAAACAAAAAACAGTTGCTGCTTCACTGAAAAGATATTACCTCCAATATGAAGCACATGTCGGACTTTTGAAACTGGACCTTTGAAGGAAAATATAAGGTGTGGGTCATGTGATTGTTTAATTACATGTGTATACAATTATCAATATTGATATGTATGCATGTGTTAAATAATCTGGATTGTTACATTTCTTTATCACAAACAGGAGTGTGCCTATTGACCTCATGTTCTGTCTTTTGCTTCTTTGAGACCCTGTACACTGGCTCCAGTGCCCCTTTGAGCAGCTCTTCGGCCTCATTGGTCCAGTAAGAAAACCTCTGTCCGTGGCTATAAAAATCACATAATATCAGGATGAAAATGTAAATCAGTGTCAAAGAAACTGTTGTCTATAAAGTAACATTTAAAATGTATGATTTACCCTTCAATCTGGTACCGTTCCATGAGCATAATGCACCACCATTTCCGGATCTGTGCTATGTCCCGCTAAAAGAAAATGTAACAATAATAAAGTTGAAAATGAATGGAACCTCATCATTTGTCTACTCAATGTTAGCCCCCTCTTCCCCCTGAAATACTAACTCAGAGGATAAATACTGACCTCGGTAAACCAAAGTGGAGCATCTGTGCTGAAGTTGAGTGCATACTGTGAAAGGATAAAGATCTGTTAAGTTATGAGTTTCAAAAACTAACAAAACCCCTTAAAAAAAAGTGTCAAGGGAGGAATTTACCATCAGTATGAAGACACCACAGTCATTGCCCGTGGTTTGGTGAGGCAAACCCTGTAAGAATTTGGAATATAACAGTGATGTTCATGGTCAAATGGAAAATAAAGACATGTGAAAGCAGGTGTATGAGATGGTGGAGAAATGTACCTTGACGTCTCTGCCGAACTTTACTGTCCACTGACCTGGAGCAATGCGGTGCGCTAGGTCACTGTCAAAAGAAATGATAAGACATGGGAATTGATTTGGTGAAGGAACGCTATACTCAATATAATTCATGTTTTTGGATTTCCTTACATTGAACTATTGCATGCCTTAAAAGAGGAAAGTTATGAAAGCCACTGAACGGGGCTAAAATAAAACAAACAAAAATACGTTTACCAGCCTCTGAACAAAGCTGAACTTGAAAACAACCTTTGAACAAGGCTTATAACAAAATGTACATTATAATTCATAGCATCCTGTTGCAGACTCTTTTTCTTTTGGTTCCACTAAGGACACTCCAGACTTTGTGGAAATGGAGATATATTATAAATGAATTTGATCAGATTCAGACCCCTGGTCTACAAGATGGTTACTGCAGTATTAGAATACTATAAACTATTTAGAACTCCCATACAAGCCACAGAACGGTGGGGGTAATCATGTTACAAAAACCTAAATATGTCCTTGTAGGAATTGTCCCCAAAGCCATCTGGCTTAAGAGGGTCGAGCAAATATAACTCTCTCTTTGCTGGCTTGATCACCTGTCAACCATTGACAAAATAGCTGAAATTAGACATAATCAAACACCAGAAGAAAACCACACAGCACAACTTATGTTCATTTTGTACATGCTGGTGAGATCATTTGGAACAGACTCACGCAAAGCAAATAGTGATCTGCCTTTCCTTGCTGCCGACTCCAGGCAGGGATGAAAACCATGTCCTTGGTGGCCAATTGGTCAGCCTAGTATTTTAAACAAGGGATTTTAAGTTGCTGTATATCAATTTCAAGAAACATAGGTCTCAAGCAACAGGAACTTACTGGAAAACTGGCCAACGCGTCAGCTGTTTTGGACTTCCAGGTAGGAACCACATACATATCCACGATGTATATATCTTTGCCCTATATTGATAGTTTTTCAAAAAAAATGAAATCTTCCTAGAAGTATGTTCAACAACAAGAGACAACCACACTTCACGAGATTGGAGTTTCACCACTAAACAGCTATTTAGAAAATATGTGTTATTCAAAAGAAAAAAGCAGGCCAATGATGTCTGTTGAAAACCGTACATGTCTTTGGGTGGCTTCTTGTACCATCTTCAGGCACGGGTTTCCAATCTGAAACAGTAACAACAGTAAGTTACCTGTGCCATTTATTTGAGACAAGATGAAGTTGGGAGGAAAGCTCAAGTATACCTACATTTGACTCCATGCACTGAGGAAGACCCAGGCTCCAAAAGTCCTTTCTGGTCAGGCACACATCACCCTCCTTCACAATGACCTCTGCTCCAGGCCTATTGTGGTCTAGCACATAGCTGAGCTGCAAATAACAGATTGCAAAACATACTTCAAGCCAATAGAAAACATAGAAAAATTCAAATCAAAACAATGCACCTCCATCACTGTGCATGAAGTAAACATATATCTACCAGCTTGTCTTGAATCGGATGTAGATCCTTTGCGTATTTCGCACCAGAGAGGGCATACTGGTGGTCAGCAACAGACCCCTCCGAATCCAACTTCGGTTCAGCTGTTATTAGATAGACAAAAAATAAACAGTATTATTGAAGTACCACACATGAAGTATACCTAAAATGTGTCCTTGTATTGATAATCAAAATACCTCTCAACATAGGCCTGATAAAGGGCTTCAGCTGAGACACATTCACACTCTGTCTCAGCTGAGCTCCTGTTGAGCTCAACAGGGTTGCCACACCCTTGTTGGTGATTGAGGAAACCACATAAGGGCCAAACCAGTTGCACTCCAGTTTTCCACCTTTTCGGCCCTCCTTCCTCTTATTCGCTCTTAGGACCTCATCTCCAACGTTAATCAGGAAAGATTTCACATTATTTCCCTTGCGTTTTTCAAAAGAGATTTTCTGTCTCTGTTGTGCTATTTGGATGTTCTGGTAAATCTGAGAAAGATATGTAACAGTTATCATTTACAGTCCTTAACATACGCTTGCATTTTTTAGGAGTTATTATGTTTTAAATATTGCCATTTTATTCTCACCTTCGAGTGCAAATCTGCAATGGTTGCAGCCTTTGCCTCAAGCTGCTGTTCTGCCTCATCAGCAGGCACCAAAACAGAGGTATCATCCCTGTCATTGACTGTAGCATTTATAACACCCGGGACGCGAGGGTGCCTCCCAAACTGGGCAAAATAGGGCGTGCACTTGGTTGACCTCTGAAAGCATAAAAATTCCTTTTAGTATCTCTGTTGAGTATTGTTTCCATCTGCATTTGTTACAACATTGTACCTGCTTTGAGGTGTTAATGCTCGCCACAATGCCCCTCAGATGTAAATCCCAGTCATTCTGGTCCTCTCCACAGTACTTTGCAAGTGCTTTTTTTATGTTTGGGTTTGTACGCTCATCTTGGCCATTGCACTGGGGATGGTACGCTGAAGTGATGCAGTGTTTTACACCCAGTGCATCAAAAACACCACGGTTGACCTGCAGATGGTTTAGTGTACACCAATTACCAAATTACCTGAAAAATCGTATTACATTGTTACACATAACACATACACTGTATTAGATAGATTATTGTACCTCATTGACAAATTCCCGTCCTTGGTCGGTAATGATCTTCTCGACAAGACCGAAATCGAGAAGAATATTTACAATCTTTTTTGAGACCTCAACAGCTGTTTTGTGGTAGAGCGTTTTTGCTACCACCCACTTCGTGAACAGATCAGTCGCTGTTAGAATGTATCTGCAATATAAAATGCAGAATGTTGTAAATACATACAGAATCACTGTAAATGATTTCCTTTCTTTTTAAACCAGATTCTTCACGTTTAGAACCTTTAAAGGAGGTTACACATGCTTCAGCCCATCATGATAGTACCTTTTGCCCTTAGCAGTGGAGGGAAGTGGGCCAATGAGATCCACACCAAGGACAGTCCATGCCTCGGGAACATGAATGGGATGCAGTACGGGTGCAACCGTTTTAATGACCTCGTGTTGCTGGCAGCGGGGACACTCATCAACCTTAGCAAATATCATACATTTTCAATCAGCAAAACAAAAAACTTTAGGTATAAAAATGATAGAACAGAGAAAACTTTCAGAGGAGACAGAATTAAACTGTTAAAGTTCTGAAATATGTTTTCTCTGCTCTGATGGAGCTCAAACTGTCTCACTCTGTTTCAATGTACACATACAACACATTTCTGTAGATCAATAATCAGTCAGTCAGTCAAAAACTCCCACCCATTTCTTCACGTCCTCCCGCATAGTGGACCAGTGGTACGTTGCCAAAACCTTCTCGGTGGTGCGCCTTCTCCCTGCATGACCTCCGGAACCCAGGTTATCATGGCACTCCTTCAGGACATTGATAATTTAGTCCTTGGTGCACACAACCATCCTCTCATTGTCCTTGTATGTGTAGTACAAATCTCCAGCTGGCACAACAGGAACAAAAAAACAATCATTTAGACATGTGTAGAGATGACATTATGACTAAAAGCTGTTCAAGAAATCCAGTGGCAAATGTGGTATAGACGTAACAACTACAGTAATGTAAAGTGTGTATAAAAAGAAAAAGGAGAAACAAGCTGTGGAGTCCTTGCGATTTACTGAAAAATGTTGGAATTGCAATATGATAAACCATTGATGATTGTATGATCACTTTTGCACCAAAAAACACCATTAGATAAATAGATAGATAGATATATACTTTATTGATCCCTATAAGTAAAGGGATGTGATGATGTCACATGTACAGGGGGTTTATACCTCATAATAAAAACGTATGTTCGTGACTTAACCATGGTCTTATTCTGTTACTTACCTTTGATCAGGTATTGTTTGGATGCCCTCCGAATGAACGCCTTCCTTTTATCAGGCTTTTCAGCGGCGATGGTGAGATTGTGGTAACCACCATTGAGCACGTACTGCTTTATCTCAGCATAAAAGCTCTCCATTTCTGTCATGAAAGTTAAAATGTTCGCGGTAATTATGGGGAAGCGGAGGGATCTAGATCGTTCACACATAACAAGCTGTACCGAGTTCCTCCGGCTGCAGTTCCGCAGACGGCCGGTGTGTGGCAGCATAGCGCTGGGAGCAGAGGGAGGTGAGTATATGACGGATATGACGGACGACGGATGCGACGGAAATACACCCGAACATATCTGGTAGGCCGAACATATCTGGGCTGCTTCTCAGGTCGACTATTTTCATTTCCTCGCTCCTCGGTCCTCGGTCTCACCGGAAGTTGATTTGCCTGCGCCATCTTGAGTACCGTCCCATGGCTCTTATTTCTGCCGGAGGACCGAGGATCGAGGAGCGAGGAGCGATCATGGAGGAGCGATAACCGAGGAACCACCAGACCATCCTCCGATGAAATCCTCAGATACTCACCCCGCCCCCTTACTGTGTATCGCTCACTGATTGGACGATGCAGTGCATGCACTGATCTCATGCTTCTTGACATGAGAGCAGAGTGAAGAAAATACATGAACCTCACGTTAGTCACTCCTCAGTTTATACCGTGTTTTGTTTCAATTCATGTATAATTTAGTTACAAATATGTGATATATCTGAACAACAAAGTGGTCAAAAATCATTAAATTCATTTTTTGGAAACATTTTCATGATCGCTTTTTTCGTTTTACATTTTCATTTATTGTCATTTCCATTCAGTCAGTCATTAAGTGCTATTAAAATGTTAATTTACTACATATCCAAAAAACAAACAAAGTGTGCAATCCAATGAATGTTAATCTAACTGGGTTTTGATAGATAACATATCTATTTTTCTTCTCTCAATTATTGTATTTCTATTGTGCACTCTAATCAATAGTAGCCTAGTCAAACTATTGTTCGTTTATACATTTTAAGAATGGCATTTATCTTTTTTGAGAATGAGTTCTTATTTTATTTTATTTATTGGGATCTACAACAGATGATACAAATGTTTGTGTCAGTAAATGTGTACTAACAGAGGCGGGGGGGGGGGGGGGGGGGGGGGGGTGGAAATAACTGGGACAGAGCTGGCTGCTGTCAGACGATCAGCTGTGCAGCGTCATCACAAACGGACGTCGCTTCACGTGACGCTCCGGAGGAAAGGACGTCCCATTGCTCTTAAAACTCATTTCCCTGCTTCTCGTGGTTTCCTTGCGTCCCTCCATGCTTCCCTTGTGGGAGGGACTAAACGCAGGGAAACGACGCAAGTGAGGGAAGCAAGGATTTCATTTAATCGACCTGAGAAGCAGCCCAGGGCTGCTTCTCAGGTCGACTATTTTCATTTCCTCGCTCCTCGGTCCTCGGTCTCACCGGAAGTTGATTTGCCTGCGCCATCTTGAGTACCGTCCCATGGCTCTTATTTCTGCCGGAGGACCGAGGATCGAGGAGCGAGGAGCGATAATGGAGGAGCGATAATCGAGGAACCACCAGACCATCCTCAGATGAAATCCTCAGATACTCGCCCCGCCCCCTTACTGTGTATCGCTCACTGATTGGACGATGCAGTGCATGCACTGATCTCATGCTTCTTGACATGAGAGCAGAGTGAAGAAAATACATGAACCTCACGGGAGTCACTCCTCAGTTTATACCGTGTTTTGTTTCAATTCATGTTTCATTTAGTTACAAATATGTGATATATCTGAACAACAAAGTGGTCAAAAATCATTTTATTCATTTGTTGGAAACATTTTCATGATCGCTTTTTTCGTTTTACATTTTCATTTATTGTCATTTCCATTCAGTCAGTCATTAAGTGCTATTAAAATGTTAATGTGCTACATATCCAAACAAACAAACAAACAAACAAACAAACAAACAAAGTGTGCAATCCAATGAATGTTAATCTAACTGGGTTTTGATAGTTAACATATCTCTTTTTCTTCTCTCAATTATTTTATTTATTTTGTGCACTTTAATCAATATTAATCAAACTATTGTTCGTTTATACATTTTAAGAATGGCGTTTATCTTTTTTGAGAATGAGTTCTTATTTTATTTTATTTATTGGGATCTACAACAGATGATACAAATGTTTGTGTCAGTAAATGTGTACTAACAGAGGCGGGGGTGTGTGTGGAAATAACGGGGACAGAGCTGGCTGCTGTCAGACGATCAGCTGTGCAGCGTCATCACAAACGGACGTCG